TATCACCAAAGTTGTTAGTAACCTTGTGTAAAATTGATACCTTCTCCTTAAATATCAACAATGGATTGTATTTCATTTTCATATCTAACATGGAAACATTTATGGATGCTTTGTGGTACTAAGTATTTACCAAATGACCACTTAATTTTAGATTCAATATTTGTATTACAAAGAAAAAAAAGCAAGAGATGGAATACTTGGATTTTATGGTCCAAAAGTAATAAGAGTGAGAATAGCACCTTTGGACTAACTAGAATATCTAAACCAAATAACACTTGAGATTCATAAGTTGTCCTTGAAAGCCAAGATATCAACAAAAAGTAGTGATCACAAGAATAATAGAATAAGTGGTTGCATATGAAATGTTGGAGATGAGTTGAGACTACATTCTCGAAATAAATATTATAAATAGAGGATGTTATTATTGTAGATTTGCATGTTTTGCAAAGGTGATACATACTTGTATAACATTTCTCCAAAAAAACCATAAATAATATCTAAAGAGTTTTGAGAAAAAATTTATCTTTCACATTTGTAGTTTCCAAGTATCATGTATGTTGTATTTACATTGTTTCCTATAAGAGCCACAATTTTCAAGATTGTGAATAAAAGTAGTAAGCCATTATTTTTTAGGAAAACAATTCCTTGGAAAGCAATATCTAAAGAAAATTGTTAATAATTATCATTGCATCTACAAGTGATGAATATAGTTAAGTGTTTGGATTGCCATTGAATAATCTAAGCCACATTTTGGTTGTAATGAGATTGGATATTATATGGTTAAAGTTAACCTTGGTGATATTTCTAATTTGAAGTGTTGATTTCTCATGATTGTCAAGAAAAAGTTTTGAATTTATTAATTTAAAATAATCTTGGTAAAACTTTAGAAGTTGGTCCCAAAATTAATATTGAAACCTGCAACAATTCTAATTATCAAATTTTTACCTATAATATGGAATCAACAACTGCATCTTTGGCTAATGGAGTAAAAACTATATATTTAATAAAAAGTAAAAGAATGATTTTTCTCGAGGAGAGAAATGAATAAATTTATTGCATCTCCACCTATTTTGTATTATATTTGTGAGCAAACTTTGATTAGCACAAGTTAAGAAACTATTTACTTGGTTGTAAGAGCACATCACACTGCTCATTTGGCCATCTTAAATGTAACTTTGGAAAAGTAGGTTATAAGAGTTAATCAAGTTTTATTCACTCACCTATGAAAAACTTACGAGTGAAAGCATTTCACTCACTACATATTGAAAAGCAAAGAAAATAAGCTAAAAGGAAGAGAGATAAGTTGAAATTATACCTTTGCATTGAAATAATTATAAACTCTTAAATTTGAAATTCCCGGGAAGTCACCCAACCAAGAGACACTTAACCCTAAATATCCCAAGACCTTTAACCGATTGAAAAAATGAATGCACTTGGAAAATAAGATATATTTTTATTCATAAGCACTTTCCTTCTATATTTGAACCCTATTGATCATCTTTCAAGTTATTCTCTTTAATTGTTTATAGTAATATTAATGCATTTATGGATAAGCTTGTGGTTTTGTAACTATAGACAAAATTCTAGAACATGAGACAAAACTTTACATCTCTAATCAAGTAAAAAAGTGTGGAGTTGAATGAAGCTATAGTGAGTATCAACAATGGAAAAATTGTAGTAGCTAAAGTAAAATTGCCAAACTCTAGTGAGTAAGAATTTTTCTCTTGTCTTTTTCATATGGCAGGGTGACACTATGCAATTCAGATGAAGCATCCTTGGAAAGCCTAGGTAAACATAGTGAATTTCCACTTGCATTGCAAGAATGCTTTGATTATAAGCACATCTTGCTGTTTTTCTTCGGAACTAGTACTTGTGATCTTGCAAATTGCAATTAAAGTACTTCGATTTAGTCGGGTATAGTTGCCGCAAAACATCCTCCTCTGCTGCCGCAGTGCAAGTGGCCAAGCAGCACAAACATTCATTCCCAACAAACACTGATTAGTTTACTCGTTTTGAAACATTACCAGATAGATAGTGTGGTGCTGGATTCAGGGGAGGTGCTCGTAACAATCACGAAAGTTCCAGTTTGACTCCAAACATCTCCCGTGTGATCTTCCACTTGCAAGCGATATCTTGTTCTTCATGTATCAATCAAATGGAAGGGAAGTTGCTACCTCCAAAACTCGTTTGATTCTTCTACAACAGTGTCGATACGATACGCGGAGTAAAAAAGGAAGCAATCCAAAAAGAGGATGTCCGTAAGATCACTACAGCTTAACCTCACTCTCGCAACTTGGCTCGGTGGTCTCTTCATGGAGGAATCCATGGCAGAAAGAGAAGGATCGTCAAGTCCGAGCTTTTGCAAACGAGGGAGCGATCGAGCGAAACGACGGCTGCCGCACACTGTGGATTGATCGATAAGTCTCTAGCTGGAGACACGGAGAATCCACTGAGCATCTCGACAGGAACTTTCATGATCATCATCACGCGCTTCAAGCATGGCCTAGCTTAACATCAACGACTTTGGGCTTGGCAAAGTTCTTTATGTCTCTCTCTCTCTCTCTCTCTTGCTGCTTGCTCGTGGATTTTTTAACGAATTTCTTCGTCTTCCGTGTGCTGCCGGGCTTGAGGAAATCTGTCCGAGAAACTGGGCATGTATCTTGTTTCCAGTTTGGGTTGCTTCGGACGACTTTCGTGCCGGTCGCCGGAGGAAAAAGAATTGTCATGGAAAAAACAATGGAACCTGTAAGCGCTCTGGACAACACGTTAGCTTGTCACATCCTTGGCAAAAAGCTTAGACTTTGCTGGATGATCCGCGGCCTTGATCTCAGGCTAATGCCGTGCTGATCGCATCAGCGAGAGGAATTTAAAGACTTTTCCAGTCGACAAGAAGTGGTGGAGTGATCGGGCAGTGATCCATCGACTTCGAGCGAAACATGACATGGATCGAATCGTCCGAGTCCAAGTAGAAAAAGAAAAAGGACGAGATGGAGATGGAGGGATCAAAGAAGTGGAGCGCGGCAAAGTCAATCAAAGCCGGTGCCATGTCTTTCTCTCCTCTCAGATTTTTGCGCTCTCTCTCTCCTTCAAACTTTCTGTGTGTTTCTTTGGCTGGCAACAAAAACAAAGGCGGGACTCCCAGCGAACAATAAAAATAAGCATTTTGGGGCCAAAACCGTCAGATAAAACGAGCTGCACGGCGGCGATCATGGGGATCTTCTCCCGCAGCTTCTGCGTCACGGCCACACGAACAGTCATGACCCCGGCTGCAGGACCCTCGATGCGTATCTTCACCACCGGCCCATCGATCTTGACAAGCGTCAGCTCCCCTCCGCCAGTTCCCACCAAGTAAGGCCGTATCTCCGACAGTATCTGCGCACGAGGGTGTGTGACACCAAAGCATGGAGAGCCCCCGGAAGCTTACCTTGTCAACGTTTTCCTCTGTCAGCTCAAGCCCCGTCTCCGTGTCTTGCACCTGCTCCACGCCGATTATCTCCGGGATCTTCTCCTTGAGCCGGGCTTCGATCCCCATCTTCATGGTCATGAGCGAGCTGGGACAGGATCCGCACGCCCCTTGCAGCTTCAACTTGACCACCAACCCGTCAATCTCCTCCATTAGCTAGTAGATGGCTATGGCGAGGAGCGGCGCCTTTGCTCTTCTCTCTCTGTCGCCGAGCAAAGCGGGGATCTTGATGCGCTAGGGCATCGATTCTCGTTGATCGTGTTGGCAGCGCCTCGCAGCGGTGGCGGCATTGGGATTATGACGCTTGCCCGGGCAATGTGTCGAATTTGAAGGCGCTGCGCCACTGTGTCACGGGCGCGATCGAGCGCGCGTCGACGGGGCATCGATGGAGCTAGGTAATCACACAAGGGGCTCGCGTTGAATCGAGCTTTTTCCTTCTTTCTCTCTGCTTCCCGTGATCTTCCTCGCTTTTCCCATTCGATCCTCGGCTTTCCATGGCGAATTGGAGGTAATCGCTCCGAAATATTCCCTCCTCTCGGAAGCGCTTGCTCGAAATATTTCCACTCCGATCGATCCGCAAGATGGAGCTCCACGGCGGCGACCCGGACCTCTGCTATGGCCTGGACGTGGATCTTGTGGGAGACAACGATGAGGCCTGGGCGAGGCGGTCGTCCAGGATCACGAGGATTTCAGCGACGACGACATGGACGTGGACGAGCTGGAGAAGAGGATTTGGAACGATCGGCTGCGGCTCAAGCGGATCAAGGACAAGCAAAAGGCCAGGGTCAACAACGCATTCTCCTCGAATCACTCGAATCACAGCCATGGGCAGCAGCAGCAGCAGCAGCATCACGGCGGCCCAGCAGCGCAGCACCAGAATCTGGGCAATCTCCAGGAGCAAGCCCGGCGGAAGATGTTGCGAGCCCAGGACGGGATCCTCAAGTACACGCTCAAGATGATGGAGGTCTGCAAAGCCCAAGGATTCGTCTATGGCATCATCCCCGAGAAGGGCAAGCCAGTGAGCGGCGCCAGCAACAACAACCGCGTGATGGAAGGAGAAGGTCCGCTTCGATCGGAACGGCCCCGCCGCCATGGCCAAGTACGAGGGCATCTGCTCCAGATCCGGCGGCGGCGCTGGCCAGCTCTCCGCCGCCGCCCCGACGCCACACACTCTCCAGGAGCTCCAGGACACCACCCTCGGATCGCTTCTCTCGGCGCTAATGCAGCACTGCGATCCACCCCAGCGGAGGTACCCGCTGGAGAAAGGGGTGGCGCCGCCGTGGTGGCCGAGCGGCGACGAGGAGTGGTGGCCCGAGCTTGGGCTTCCAAATGGGCAGGGGCCGCCGCCGTATAAGAAGCCCCATGATCTCAAGAAGGTGTGGAAGGTTGGAGTTGTCACTGCGGTGATCCGACACATGTCCCCGGATATCGGGAAGATCAGGAAGCTCGTGAGGCAGTCCAAGTGCTTGCAAGACAAGATGACTGCCAAGGAGAGCGCGACGTGGATCTCGGTGCTCAACCAGGACGAGGCGCTGGCGAGGCAGTGCTCGGGGAATTTGATCGGGCAGCAGCAGCAGCAGCAGCAGAATAGCCAGGTGATTGTGATGACTGATGAGGATAACCCTTGAGACATTAGTATGAGGCTGCCTTGGATTGCTCTTCCAGGAAGAGGTCGAAGAGCAAGAAAACAATGAGGAAGCACCGGAATTTTGACCAAGTATGACAGAGCTCGCGCGCTTGAGACACGGGCTTCTTGGTTTTGCTAGTGAGAACTCTTAAGTTCTTTTTCTTTCGTGATTGAACAACAACAGTATGAACGCTCCAGTGATGGCGGAAGTGGAGGGCGAGACAGATCCATTCGAGGTATAGAAACTCTGAAAAGGAATTTGTGTGGAGCGACTCTTGAATGTGAAACTTCTATGTGAAGGGAAGATCCCTTTACGATTCGGCGGTATCTCCGAATGAGAGAGTGGTCCGCTTCGTGCGTTTCTAAGAGGCTACGAGGATTGGGAAGGAAGACAAGTTGGAAACTAGTGAAAAGTCTAAAAAGATTCGAGGGATACTATGCATATGCTTTTAGGGTTATTTGCACATTAGCTTGTAATGGAGGGGGCGCGGCTCGCGATCGTCTCCGATCTCGATGGAACAATGGTACGCATTGCAATGGCGCTGGTTTCTTCTTCAATGCGCTCTGGGCCGCGGATTATTTCCATGACTTGCTTCTGGTGTTCTCGACTGGAAGATCGCCGACGAGGTATCGCCTGCTGAGGCGGGAGAGGACGCTGCTCACGCCGGAGGTCACGATCTTGTCGAGATTGTACGGCGATGCCATGGTTCCAGATTCTGGATGAGAGCGAGAACCAAACAAGGGGTGGGATAGGGCTGTTTGGAAGAGACTTCCAAGTTTCCAGAGCTTACATTCCAGGTAGAAAAATTCCATATCCTCTCTTTGATTGTGTTTACAACGGTTTTCTCTATCTCGTCCTGGCTTTTTTTTTTCTGTAGGAACAAACAGCACAGCGACCTCACAAAGTCAGCTTCAAGCTGAAGAAGGCGGAGGCTCCTCGGGTTGTGGAGACACTGTTGATCGAGTGTGAGGCAAGTTTTTAGAGGATCGTTCGAAGCTTTTGTGATCTAATCCTTTTTCCTTTTTGTTCTTCCAGTTGGATGTAAAAATCATATACAGCGGAGGACAGGATATGGATGTTCTCCCTTGAGCAGCTGACAAGGGACAGCTCATGAGGGAAGGCAGAGCTCCTCAGAAAGTTCTTGTGTGTGGTGATTCCGGCAACGATTCTGAGCTCTTTGCCGTCAAAGACGTTTCTGGAGTGATCGTAAGTTCTTGAAGTCGATTGATCACTCACTCACTCACTGACGATCTCAGGTCGGGAATGCGTTTGAAGATCTTACGCAGTGGTACCTTGATAATGCCAAAGACAATCCCAAGATCTTTCGTGGCACTGAAAGATGCGCTTCGGGAATCTTACAAGCTATCCGAGAGTTCAAGTTTGATCCTTGTGTTTCGCCCAGGGATGCCGACTTACTGAGCCAGCTCACTGCTGGGGACACCGAAGGGTTGATCGGACCTGGAGTGGTGCTACTGTGTGAGATGGTTACGAGGCGAGGTTGAAAGCTCCCACGAGGTGTTTGAACACTTGAAAAGGCCAATGGTAACCGTGGGGACTACAAGACGATCTTCGTAGAAGCGTTGAGATTCTACGTCCCCTCTACGGTATTCACAGGGGAAAGAACTTCTGTATGGGGGTTGATCGAATTCGTGCGACGAAGGTTGGGGACGTTACTTGGGTTGTCAAGTTTGATAAGTGGCAGCGAACGGGTACGTCAAGTTCTTCTTTCTGAGTCATATGCATTATTTTATTGCTGGTGCATTCCAGACGAAGAGCTGAATTATCGCTTGACAACCGCCGTGTGTTTCAATATGAGGTGGCGTTCTTATCGCTTTGTCTTGGTGGAGTTATTCAGCTTTGCTTCTCTTACAGGATGGCATGCCTTATGCGAGTGTATTACGAATCCACGAAACGTGGCTTGATGGTTATGCGGGAAGACCTTTGGTCCTAATGTAGGAGACACAGCCAACGATAGGCGAAAAAATAAGCAGGGACGAATCATCGTGCCTCGCTTCCTTCCATGCTTTAGATGCTCAAATGATTCTTTCATTCCCTTTCGCTCGCATAAATTACTCGTGTTGACAAGAAAAGAGTTGAAGTGTGTGAGAGTGTGTGTAAGTGTGTAACTTACGACAGCTTTTCCTGTAGATTCCCCTGCATTCCCTGTCCTTTTGTTTCCTTTTTTAGTTCCATAGGCCAATGGATCGCTTTCTTCTTCTCTCCTCTTGCACTCTGCTGCGTCAGTTTCACTCGGGATAACGTATTCTTATGTAATTGTTCGCTGGCGTCGGTGAGAAACGAAGGCTTTCCCCCTTTTTTCCAGAGATGATCTTAAGGCGCTGTTTTCTTGTGAGAATTGGTGGTGCTCCTCCCCAGCACAATGCATTTGATGATTCCACGCCACCATTTGTCTCGTCATATGCTCACTGCCACTGTTCTTCCTGTGCTTCCAGAGCACAGGCGCCAGAAAAGTTTGAAGAGGCATTCTGAACTTGACACCATTTCCTCCAGGTATTTCATCTCTTGCTTGATCGTTTTCTTGACGATGTTCGCGTCAGGTAATCCAAGCTTTCAGGCATGGTGAAGTTCCAGAAGCAGCTGGAGGGCCAGCTCGTCCCAGAGTGGCGGGTGAAGTACTGCGACTACAAGCAGCTCAAGAAAGTTGTCAAGAGAATCAAAACCCAGATCCTACATACCAAGAACCAGCAGCACAAGGTGTTCGATCCAAATGTCTTCTCCGTTGACAAGAGCAAGCTTCAAAACTTGCTGCAAAATCCCAGCGCCATTCTAAGCAGCTGCTGCGAACAATCCATATCCTCGGAAACGTCCATGGTTTGTGATGATGGTCTGGACTGTAAAGACAAAACAAAACACTTCAATATGATCAGGTTGTGCACAAGACGAGAATTGGAGATGGCGAGGATTTTTACGAGACGGAGCTGTTTGGAACTCGATCGGATCACGAAAAGAGCTTCTTTTTCGGCCTTGACGATCAGCTCAACAAAGTGGACAACTTTTTTAGATGCAAGGAAGACGAGTACGATGCTCAAGCACGGCAACTTCACATCCAAATGGAAGAGCTCATCGCTATGCAAGGTTCGTTCTAGCAGCCTCTAATTCTGTGGCACTTAACTTGGAATCGTTTGATCTCTGCCATGTTGTAGATGACGAATCTCAGAGCTTGAAGGGGAGCCCCGCCAACAAAGGAAAGGTTCAGCGAGCAGCCAAGATGCTCCATTTGTCGAATTTTATCGTGGGCTTCGACTCCTAAGAAACTTCAGGTGAATGACCTCTATACGATTGATCCATGTTCTCAAAGTGTTGAAAACTTACTTGGCAGCTCCTTGAACATGATGGCATTCGTCAAGATCCGCAAGAAATATGAAAAGGTACTTATGGAAAATGGAAAATTAGTGCAGACTTCTAAAAAGGTTTTTTTGAATTTTCAGGTGACTGGAGTCTGGCAGTTACCACTTTGCAACGTCGGAAGGTGTGAAGAAATTTTCCTTTGAGGGTCTTGCTGATGGAATTTCAT